AAAGCTACCCATATATTGCGGGCAAGGCTAATATTGCGAATACGATGAGAGTCTATCAATCAATGTCTTGCATAATTCCCAGGTATATATGACGAGCCTGTGGACGTATAGTGGACATGGAGATAAATTCCACAAAGGAGCCACATTCTTGGTTCTTTCGTTGAAATTTCAAAGACAACGTGGATGCCTCGGCGTGGGGCATTTGTTACCCACTTGATATATCGATCGAGATTTGAAGCGACCCTATTCGTCGGCTTTTCTTGGTTGAGATTTACTTTCATCTGCTTTTCCGATATTGTTGGCATTTATAGCACGCGCCACTCTAGGCTTCCACATAAGCTACTCGATCCACGGCAGTGGGAGTACGAACACTAGCAATGGATCGTGTCTGCCAAGTAATCACGCAATCATGGATATCAATTTCATGTCAAGCAGAACGTTGATCAATTGAGAACTACTAGTAGCAACTTTATGTGTAAATCCAGCGCCAAGCTGCTAGTTCCATCCGAAAAAAATGCTTAGCATGCAATCGTGTTATAAATTCCAGCTGAAAAGCTGCAGCACACGCCTTCATGCGGATAACTTTTAACAAGAAGCTTTCAGCATGTACAATAGACATCGAAATAAAGACAAAGATTGCGGCATATATCGTAACGAGACGCAGACAACAAACCAGAAAGGGGTATTTATATATACAAAAACTACCAGAAGTACGGGTTTCCGTAAACATCCGCATAACACTGCAGTGAATCGGGGCAGCTGAAAAAAATGAGTTAGCCTAATACTCTCACCGCCATGATCTCGATATACTTACTAGACCGGATCCTTCCCGAAAATGATATGCCAAGAATACTCCATCACCCGCGAAGTGACATCGTCCGGCAAGTCATTGGTCAAAACCCAATTATAGTACTGCATATATTCTTCGAAAGAACGCTTCAAGACCTGGTCGCGTGACACGGCGAATTGCGAGCAGCACGGCGCACCAATGACTTCTGGAACTTCGGTATTGTTAAAAAGCTCCTTCCAGGCCTGCGCGTAGACCGCCTCGGTCGTTTGTCCGGGGCGCGGAGGGTTCCGTAAGGGCCTGAGCTCTTCGGGGCAGCCAGGTGTTTCCTGGCATCGGAGATTGGCGTATCCACTCTGCTGAATAAAGTCGGCTTGAAGGTTGCGGACCGCCACGACGTTGCTGTACTCCATGTTATCGGTGTGCCAGGCAGCCGGCCAGCCGTCTTTATGGCTATGGATGAACACGATGAGCGATGGGAGGTCGTGGTAATGTTCGATGATGTAATGAAGGTATGCCAGACTTTCGCGTCCCTTATTGATGGGGGTATGCCGCGTGGCGCTCAAATCATCAACCGTGTAGATCACATTCCGCCATCTGACCTGTCAGAAAACCGCATCCAGAAATGCGACGGACCAAACTCACTCAGCTAAATCATTTGCGACCCATGACGTATCCTCCGAAGCCAACTTGGCCATCACAAGCGTTCGGTCATTGGGGACGATAATCGGGGTGGTCTCGTAAGTCTGAGGGGCGATCACACCCGATTCAATGGCCGTTTTGTCTACCTGGTCACCCTGATTGACCTCGTCGGAACCCGCGGAACTACCCCCGAAGCGCCAGAAGGATGATAGCGGCACGCGCGAATCATCCTGAACGGTGTCGAGATGGCGCTTGATCAGGAAGATGGCGAGGATCAGGAGTGCGGCCGTACCAACACGGATGGATAGTCTCATCTCATAATATTAGTTGTCGACCCAGTTGAACAATTTTTAGATATGCAGATTCCCGAGGGATCGAAGGGAGGGAAGGAAATGCGGCGACGGCGGTGGTAATTAAACGGGGGAGCTGTTAAGCGGCGTGTTACATGAACGATCAAGTCAAACGCCGGTGACGAGCGTAGGTCGTGCAAAAAGAGGGGAAACAAAAGAATAATAAAGAATCCCCGGATTCTCTAAGCTAAAACTGAAGGGATTCGAATGAAAAGGAAGACAACGGCGATTATGAGGCCATAGGATATATAAAGAATGCGTCAGAAACTCGATACGAGAGACAAGAAGTGAAGAAGAGGGGAAGAAAAGATAAAAGAGAAGAAGGGAAAAATTAAAAAGAAAAAAAGAATGAGGCAGAAAAATGTGAACCATAGGAATGGCCACGATGCCCTCCCTGAGCAGTGCGAACAGAAAAAAAATGCTTATCACTTGGAGGCGTTGACACGCGGATTGGTGGGAATGGAAGGGGCGAGACACAGCTGATCTGCAGGGGCCATCGAGGCCTCTCTTGCGTACGCTTGAAACGAGTTCCATGTTCCTGGTAGATTGACTGAGATGACCAAGGATGAAATCAACGACTACAATTGTTCTACAAAAGCCGAGTCTTTCTTATGGAGCATCACTTAATCTTGATTCCCTGACATTGGTTGATTAAATCGCCCAAACACCGCGACACAATTGACTTGTGTTTTTGAATCTTCGAGATTAGGGGTTAGTCAGCCTCCCAGCCAACCATGGCTAGTAATGGACTAAAATGACCACACCCAGCTACCGACGCATAATCGGTCCACCTCGCTTCAGGCTTGATCGTCAACGCCGGCCAAATACAACTCCGTCGGCCTCCGGATGTCACGCATCTCGTCCCTCTGTCTCTATATATCCTCTGGGCAGAGACGATGTACCCTCTTCAGAACTCAATACCGGGGGCCCCGAGTGTCGTCCTGCTCATTCGGTCAACAAAACAGAAGATCCCGTCTTACATTGATCTAATATGGTTACGATCCACAGTGGACGAGTCTATCTCTAACGGCCCACCCAGCCTTCTAGTCTGACTGGTTGGTGGTCCGTGGCAGTGGCTCCCTTAGCGCCATCATTTTATTCTTTCAATTTTCCATCTCGCGGTTCAAGACTCGAATATACTTCAATAACCACACCCTATATTAACCTTGATGGAAGTCGCACACGCCGGGATTATGTGAACAAGCCACCCAGAATGTGATACCTTCGTCGCGGAACTCCCAGGCCGATCGTTGAGCTCATAAATATCCGAGAGAACCCCTAAGGGACGAAGGGTCTAGGATTGTGCGTCTATGACCCGGTGATCGACAGGTGAAGTCCCTTTTACATCCAGGGTCAAGTTTAAAACTAACCACTTCGGACGATTCTCCTTGTCTGAATGAAGTAAACAATTCTCGGCGAAATCATGGCCCGCCAAGTGATGACGACGACGCTGGGGACATGCAATTGAGACATGGTTTTTTCGTTTCATTGTACTCCATAACCGATATCGAGTTACCCACAGAGCATTTACCTAAATATGCGGGGCTGAAACGTCGGTTTCTCTTGACCACTTTCTTAATCTATTTTTCCGGGTTGCTGTGAGGCTCGGTCGTATATCGGATTTCCCCTGGATTGTTCAGCCATCAGCATCTATATGCTCCCTTCTTGGTCCGACCAGCCACATCTACAATTTACCATGACTTTACATTCAAGTAAAGAAGAAAACCCGGCAATAGAGAGTTTTCTCCAGCCCCAAGGTTATTACCTAATAACTCACCAAAAATATCGCGTCGCGCAGTCGCTATCAAAAGCGGATAGATCAAGCACGCAGACGTAAGGGCCCAACTTTCATCAGATCAATAGAGAACTCTATAATATACTTTTTAGTTTTTTGGCGGACGAACGGCGGAGGAATGCCGGTGGCGTTTGCTTACTTTGCTTTTCCTGGGGGAGGAAAAAACAAAGTTAGGAGGAAAAATATAATAAATAAATAAATAATTGTCAAATAAAAATTAGCCTGAAGTTATAACTAACGCTTCTCTGGCTAAACAACCCATGCGTCCCTACAAGCAGATGACATATCTATGTATTCTATACAATCAAGGGGCACTACATAGTCTACTTAAGGGAAACTTTCTTGTAATAAAAAATCAATCTGAGACCAAGGAATTGTGATTTTGAGTACACATTATCAGCTAATACGTGATCCATCGAATTGAAGCAAGTTGTATATATGAGTCGTAGAACCGCGACTTGGTCACATGCCTATCTTATAGTTTAGTATGTTCCATTACATACCAACAGACAGCCCGTTAGCATTCCCCTGTATTATGATATCATCGATAGCAAGGCCTGCTGTAGAAGTAGTGCTACTAGTGTATGGTTGGATGACAGGTAGTGGCGGATTGATTTAATATCGGACCAAATGTTCCTGGTGACTCGCAACGGTCCAATCGGGTTGTTTTGGATTTATTCAGGCGGGAATTCTTCAGCGGGGTTTCGGGAGATGTCGAGTTTATACTCCGAGAGGCTTGTAAAGCCTTTCCATTGTTTTATAGTTCAGATGAAGTCAGCTGTCAATGTGAGGCTTTGAGACCAAGAAGCCTGGTAGGGAGTTATATCACATACTACTCCGGCTCTTCTCCTCTCTATAGAATCCTAATTTCAGGGCGCGCATTTATTTAGTATTTGAGTACGTTCTTGGTCAAGCTTATAGTCATGTAGACTTCGAATCATATTCACTCTCATATTCACCCTCGGAAATATGAACATCCAAACAATGCTTTAAATATACCCAGGCGCCTGCGCCTTGCACACAAAAATCATCTTGCCTCGTATAGGAACGTCAACTCACAGAACGATATCAACATTCCTCACAAAAGGCTAACAGACAAATAAACAAAACGAAATTCCAAGAAAGATAGCATGCGATATACGGTATGCAGCTTGTCGATAGGAGAACGCCAGACCAATCCAATGCGGTTGAAAGAAATATCAGAGAAGAATATGCATATCGGGACATTGTCAATGAAGAAACACGGCGGTCAGCTCATGTTGCCCCAAGCCGGAGTTTTCAACTGGGTGTCGCAAAACAATACAATGCGGGAATTGAGAAGATGGCTCGCCTGCATCAAGATGAGGGTGACAGGAGAGCCGCGCGGACGTCGAGGGTCGTTGATTTCAGCGAAAGTCGGTGTCGGACTGGGAGTGCCGAAAAAGCCTCAGCAACATTTTCCCTTCTTCTTGGTGATTTCAATTCTCTCATCGAGCTCCTCTCCGACACTACTAGGTGGGAATCCAAGCCAGCTTCGACGCTTGTCACCATGTCCCAGCCTAAAACTACCATTGCCTTCGAGAGTCCCTGGCCCCACCGGCGATGTAACGCCGTCCAGGCCTGATGTAGACCCCTGTGATGAGGTAATGCCAAGTTGTTTATTACGCTGCTCCACCAGCTTGCGCGTGATGACCTGGAAAACCTCCTCGATGCCCTCACCGTCCTTGGCGCTGATTTCATGACAGCAGTCCCATCCGATATCTTGTCCCCAAAACCCGCTACTGCGCTTGCTGTCGAGACCTTGGAGCGTGGTGCTAGACGAATGGCTGACGCCAGCCGTGGGCGGGGGAGTGGACGCCTGAGACGGATACAGCTGCTCGGCGACGTAGGCAATGGTACGTTCAAAGGGGACTCGACGACGGGATGGATCCAATGCTACAATATCTGATTTCGTTCCGACGACATGGATTACAACCGGGTCCTCATCACCCAAGTTCTTCTTCAATTCCAGTAACCATCCCGTCATTTCCTGGAAGCTTTGTTCGTCCGTAATGTCGTAACACAGGAGGCAGGCGTTAGCGCCACGGTAGTACAACTTAGAGATACTGCGAAACCGCTCTTGTCCAGCCGTGTCCCAAATTTGCAGACGGACAATGGTATCCGAGGAACTGTCGAGGACACGCTTGGTGACGAAGGATGCGCCGACGGTGGACGCGGTTCCCACAGGATGGAAAGCGTTCTTCACATAGCGCTGGACCAAAGACGTTTTGCCAACGCCTGAAACAAGTTGTTAGTCATGAGCGAGAGAAGAGGGAGGGACGAGGAAGCTCGGTGTCCGTACCTTGTGAGCCCAAGATGACGATCTTGGCCTCGAGAGATGAACTCATGGCGGGGTAGACGCAAAGGCGGGGCCGCTGGAGAACTGAATTTGCATGTTCCAGCAATATTAATGGTAACCGGAGGAAGAAATGAAAGCAAACCGGCAGTGAAAACTACTCGTATGCAACGGCATGCACGTCAGCTCCCGATGGTACAATAATAATGATAATAGTACTGAGAATAAAGGAGAGAAAAAAGGAAAGAAAAATATCGCGACAGGAGAAACACAGTGGGTAATAAACAGACAAATCCGGACCACAGCGAAGCCGGAAAATCCTCTTTCACAGCCAAAATATGTGGGAGAGGAGAGAAGGAACGAAAAGATGTTTCTGTGGTCGATGGCGGAGACGAGGCTCAAGAGAATTTTACGAGAACATTTTAATTAGAATACCAGTCATTGCGATCCTCGACGAAACGTACATTTTACAGGGCGTGACAGGGCGAAGTCAATCAGCTGACCCCCACAGAAATCAAGATCCGGTCAGGTGTCAACCCCATCTTCATTGTTTCCGGATTTACTTCTTCTCTCTTCTCTCCAACACTCAAGCCGATTGTCTTTTCTGCTTTAATTTTCTCACCTGACTCTGTGTTGTTTTTGTTTTCCTTTCAGCGGGAACAATCGAGAGTCAATGCGAATCGCTAGTAATTACCGATCAACAATCGTCAGTGCGCTCAGACAAGGGACAAATCCCTTACATTCTTGGCTTTGAAACGAACAATAACAACATTTTGACGGAACACTAATGAGATCTTGCAAGTTTTCGCTTCCTGCGGCAACTCTGTTTCGATAATCTATCATTATCAGTTGGAAATTATATGATTTTTCATCGACACCGCGATCTTTTCAAAATATACCTCCAATGACATCATCCAGGTACCTCATTTAAATTTGAATCTGCTGTGGACCCCCAGATTAGATCAGCCTAATTTATGGATACATAGCCTATGAGATTGCAGATTGTTGATTCTCGTGCCATAGTCGCGGCGCACCCCGGAACCAGGCAGATAGGTGGTCTGGAAGTAATTTGACTGCTGGTTTTGCGACACACTTGGTCTCCGACGAACTCTAATACTGAAACAGGAACGGTGCATCCGGCCCTACCTGCTTTTTAATCTCTTATATTGAAAGATGAACAAGGTAATGTTCATGAGAAACCGACGATGTATGCGCAGCAGAAAAATACAGTATAATTTATACAAACAAGGTGCTTTCTCCACATTGCCTCAATGCCCGAAAGAATATGAAATTTATTCTGGATGATCCGGGAGTACAAGGTGGCAGCGGTATTGCCATAACTGTACACCTTCGTAAAAAAATTTGAGAAAGTTGTCTAGATCTTGACCTTTGATGTGTGGTAGCACGCGATCAAAGACTCCATCGTGGCGCCAGTCACTTTGCAGTTGTAACGTTGTACGTGATTACCGATAGATGAGGCGAAGATCTTGATATATGTACGTATGGCTGCGCTACGGTTCGTATATAACTTGCAATCAAACCCAACCTTTCCTTCCTGCCCCTCTTCAACTGTCTATATATCAGTCAACACTCAGGATGCCATATCCATCTTAGTTCCTCGTAGCCTAGGATACTCTGCTAATCTAGACATTCCTATGTGCTTTGAGTCGTCCAGCCTGTGATGACTATAAGAGAGGGCGAATCTTGGTGGCTGTGCAAGGTGTGTGCAAGTACTTCGTCTGTGCCAGATCCAATTCCGATTATGTTGCTCGGTTTCACCTCAAGTCCCTTCAGCTAAGGGTGGAAACTATGTATCTTGGTAGAATCATCTATGGCACCTTCGCATCTTATGCCACATTTATAGGGGCAGCTTGGAGAAGACATCGTAGTAGGTAGGCGCTACATTTAGGTAGTCAGTGTGAGATACTTCATTAGATACGAAGACCAAGCTTCATACTCATTCCGAAAAGTAGTAGTATCAGCTTCTACATATCCTGTTTTGTCCAGCCGGTAGAGAACCCCATTTTCTGTCCTTTCCCGCGAACTCTTTCAAGTGGCTTCGACAACGCAGTCAATATTCGGCTCATTCGTACAGCATCTTCCTGATGAGCCACAGTATGCTCAGCCGATCGGGGCGGGTTTATTTTCATTTAACGATCTACAAACAAAAGAAGGGGGTTATGGAACATTGTTGAAGTCCGTCTGTGTACATATAGGTTTAAGAGAAGACGTGACAAAACCGAAAAACCGAAGGTCAAGTTTTGTGATATCGACTGTTCTGAGTACCTGAAAAGGCTGCGCAATTGAACAATCCCAGCCGACTTCCTCTAAGTCTTGCAGTTTCATATCAGAGGAGGATGATATCTAGAATAACAGAGCTTAGTGCTACAGCAAGAGCCGCTACATCCCAAATTCTGGAGGATCCTTTGTGAGTAAACAGTATGGATTCAGGACTGTGCAGTAGAGAATGATCCCTACGTATCTTTGGATAGAAGCTTCCAAGTTTGAAAGAACCCAGGTGTTCATCATTGTTTTGAAACATGAAACAAGTGGTCAGAGCACACTTTACAATAATTGTTAAGAGTAGTACATACATTGGTAGTATGTTAAGGCATTATTGCACATTTGTTCATTGGCTGGCTCTCTTCTAGAGTTATCAATATACACTTCTTGGTACGATTTTTTATACCAAAGACATACACTGAGTATGACTTTGAATAGCCACACATCACTACTGGAGTAAGAAGCAGTACATTTGGTGGCATTGTTACGGTGGCCCTGTTAGTCCCACAAAGGGGTTCTGTTAGCAACCTGCCACAATATGCCCATACTGTGGAATCATCCCCACACAGTATTCTCGAAGGGGAAACTTTAGATACACAGTAGTACCATTGATTACTTCCCCACATAAGCGTGGGGACTGACTGAACTTTGACTTGAGCATATGGATCGTGCAAAGAACGATGTCTAGAGCTTGTATATGCCTAGAAACAAAATAGTATTGTTTATTGGGACTGTGCTCAGGAGATTTCCATCTCGAATGGCTATCAATAATCTGTTCGCATTAATTGAAGAAGTAACTTAGCCGCTCATTTTGGCAATGTGATAGGTACTTATTTTCAAGATTGATATTATCCATGCCTATTGATACTTGATCTCTTACATTTTTTCGTTTGAGAAGAATATGAGAGATGTGAAAATTGACTGCGATATTCTATTCATATCAAGTCTAATGCCAGTGATCGTCATTCACGACAATCCTCAAAAGTATACACATGCTTTGCTCTTTGGCAAGAAAAAAAAATCCATATCATCCGTTCCACGGAGAAAACTCAGGGGGTAGTCATATTTGAAAGCCAAACAAACAAAACGGGGAATCAATTGAACAGCTGCACCGACTCAGGGTAGCTGCGGCGCCGAATCAATCAGCAAAAAAAAGAAAAAGAAAAAGAAAAAGAAAAGTCAATATGAGAATGGTATATAGAGAAAGGAGAACCCGGAAAAATAAAACTATGCTTCGGGATGGCTGATGGGAAGAAAAATCTCTCCCAAGTACACCCATGCTCCTTTTTACTTTTGCTTTTAAGAGAGGATCTATCCATCCATTTACTCCGAGGTCGAAGGGGAGTATTCGGCAGCAACGACCTTCTCAGGATCTTCGGTGGAGTTGCCGAATCCATACTCGTTCGCCTTCTGCTCAATCTCCTCATCAGAAAGCTTCGGCAGTTCCTTGGAGGCCTTGACGTAGCTGATGTTCTCGGTGTAACCCTTGGCGAAGATGATGTCGATTTCCTCCAAGCTTCGGTTGGCGGTCTCGGGGTAGAAGAGCCAGATGATAG